ACTTACGGCAAAATTTTCAAAAGTGTCTAAGGTTCATTTTGAAAACGGACAAAATTCTCTAAGATCCCAAGTCCCACTGAAAGCTGGTGGGGCTCAGGCTGATGAGTACCCAAACTGACAGCTACCCCACACCTACTAATTTCACAGATCAGCAGCATCAGCACAGCACTGGGTGTGAACATGCCCAGATTGGGGCAACAGGCTGGGCCATCCTCATGGGCTGTACCACTGACTGATGCTCAGTTTGGCAAGATCCTTGGCTTCTTCACACCACATTCTACTTCCTGGGGCATTTCTGAAGGAAGGAAGGCAGGCAGACAGACAGGGACAGAATTTCAGAAAAAAAAAATGGATCTAAAAAGCAGGAGGAAATTTAGGAGAACTTTCTGAAGAGAACAAATGAACCTAACATCCAGCATGGAAAACATAAAAAGGGAGTTGGGTACAGAATTTGCTTAGATGCCAAATTGTACTTTTCGAAGCATCTATTTGGACTTGTACAGACTTAACTTTCTATTTGGACTTGTACAGACTTAACTTCCTGCCAAATTCAAACCATCAGGAATTTAAGAACTTCTAACAGTAGTACACTAAGGGTACAAGTTCCAAATGCATCCACTCAAAAGGTCCTGACTAATTACAGTCTTGGACTTTAACTTGATGCAGAGACATTCACACATGATGTCATGGTGAAAACTGATGAACAACTACCCTTGAGTTGTTATCAACTGCATTTTCAAATTACATCTGCCCTGGGAACCATTTACTGCCAGAATGTGACTGTCATTTTCTATGTGAGCCAGCACCCTGCCCAAGGTGACAGGGGCGGCCATTGGTGACACACAGCCATCTCCCCAGCTTCCTGTAAAGGTTTTCACTCACAGAGGAAGGGACTTCAAAATGCTGCCAAGAGCATGGTAGAATCCCTTTTCCCTAGTAGATTCTTGCCACATCGTGTCGGACACCATCTTTCTACTAGACGAGGCAGACGATTTTCAGAGATGAGTGTCAACAAGCTCTGTACATTAGATCAAAACAAATCAGGAAATGCCAGGTTCCCTCAAGAATTAGAGCATAAATAGTAAACTATGGCCCTTTGAACATGGTGGAAATTTTTACTTCTAGGCACAGGAAGTTTTGGGTTCTTGGAAACTAAAGTCTCAGACTCCTCCTAAAAGAAAAGGTAATAAATAAATAGTTTGGGGCTTTCACACTCTCTACCTCCATGTGTTCCTTCTGCAACCCAAGCATAATGAGAAAAGTTATATTCCACAGTAAACAGTATGTGACTATCAAGCAAACTGGGAATATGAGGACAAAAGGGTTTATACGGGATTGCTACATGACGGGCAGAATGCTTTTCTCACTGCACTTGGAGCTGCAAGCACTACAAAAAGCCCCCTATTTAAGGGAACAGCAAACTTCTAGACTAGAAGGGAACTGGATTAGTCATCAAGTGACATTACAGTGGAGGAAACAAAATATCCAACTGGAAAAAATAGTTCGATCTTTCTGTTTTTAAAGAACTGAAAACTAAAATATGTATTTTTTTTTTACTGCAAAATATTGTTTAAACGGGGCTTGCTTTCTCTATTATCTAACAAACTTCTCAGCATACTGTATATACCAGAAACCCATATCAACATTGTAAACACCCCACCTGAAATTTGAGCACTTTGCTGACAGAATATAACTATTTTCCTTTTCTTTATTTTTTTCCTCAAAATATTGCACAACAGGCTGTGGTTTATTTGCAGTTTGAAAAAACAGAGGACTGCACAAAGTGGAAAACCATCAAGGTCTAGCCTCCAAAAGGTTTCTGCAACTGCAGGCTTTTGCCTCCTTTGTACTAGAAACTATTATAAAACCCTCTAAAAAATTACCTGCTTCATTGTCTACTAAAAAACCCCAAAGCAAAAAAATGGTATTCACACGTTTGATAGAAAATCTCTCTGGTATTTTCTTTTGTGTTATATTTAAGCCAACCTGGGAAATTTCCTGATCATTGCCTGCCAGAAACGCGCTGCAAAGACTGAAAATCAGATTTGTAAGGAGCGGACACCTGCAGAAATTGGTTTCTATTAGTAACTATTTGAGAGCAAAGAAGAGTCATCTCTTACCAAGTTAACCTCTCCCAGCAACTTTAGCTTCTTCACTGGTACTCCTTCCAGTTTGGATACAATCAACATTCTGATTTTAAGCCTGTCAGCAATTCCTTCACTGTGAAAGACCTGAGTTAACCAAACTGTACCCACAAGCAGGCTTGTGTAGCAATGCAGTAACAATCTGTGACAGCTGCATTGGCAATACAAAAAGAAATCTTAACAAATTAGAAGCTGACACTGATTTTACCTAATGGCAACCAAGAATGGTAACTAGGAAAAAATATAATCATTTAATTTCAGCACATTTTCAGTATAGTTTTTTCTTAGTTCAACACTGTTTATGCCTGCTTAGTGGAGTATGTGGAACTCCACTTGCAGGATTTTGCCTCATTCTTGAAAGCCTCTTTGTAATTCTACCAACTGGGCACCCACTAACACTTTCTGCAACAACCTCTTTTTTTCTTCTTCTAGCAAAGGCAATATAAAAATCAATATAAAACAATCCAGCCCCAGTGATCACGCACTGAAAATGGAGAAAAAAGTGCTTGGAGGTGTGACATTTTAAAGCATCTCTGTAAGTTTAATTTTTAAAGGACAGAACGAGGCATATTAAATTCTTCTCATGCTATAAGGTACGCATATCACTTGTACAAGAAAACCTCAAATAAAATGATTAATCAAAGTGACTGAAGAGGTGTGAAAACAGTGCAAGCTGGAATGGGTGGAGACTTGCTGAGATCTTGGAGACACCTTTTTTCCTTTTGAATGAATTCTGCTATATCTTTTCCCTTTAAAATAATAGCACAATTTGGATCTTTGCTATTCTGATTTCACTGAAAAAGACTTACTAAATATTTCTGCTGACAAGAGCATTCAGAGCCATGCTCTAGAGTCACTCTGTCGAAGTTCAAAATGCCTTCTCTACCGGCAAGAGTAGGATGGGATGATATCAGGCAAATGCAACCTGAAAGGAATCAAAATCCCATTTCCCAACAAAAGCTCACTCTAATGGAAATGCAAAGCAAAAAGAATCTCTGAAGCGATAACACACGTGCTGATTGGCTTTGATAGAGAATGTCTTCAACATTTTTGGGGAGGTATCAATAGGAATACAAAATATGGTGAATGCGTAACAATAGCAAAAAGCGATGGATGCAATGTCAGAAATTTAATATAGAAAGGACTTCTACAAACTCTTCTTTTCACAAGCATTCTTACTTACACAAGCAATCCTCTTCTTGGCAAGGGGCTGCAGGATCAAAATACAAAAAGCATACGTAGTCAAATGATTTTTCAGAGATAGTGAACTTCATAATTCTCTTTGTGGGAATAAAACTCTAAATTGTGTGGTACTGGTTGGTGCTGCCAGTCCCAAAGAGCATTGATATTTTAAAGCCTTGATCCTGTAGACCACTGGCTTCCCAGAAGGGTCTATATTAATTACTCAAGATTTTATTTGTTGGGTTTGGAAATGGCTACACTGTATAAAAATGTTTTTGTATTTATTTTTAAAAAATTAGCTTTACAAAAACTTCCCTTTTTTTCTTTTTCTTTTTTTTTTTTTCTTAAAGATATCATTATCTACAGGAACCCATAAAAATTTTTCCATATTTACATCTAGATAACTAATCATTGACAAATATAATATCGTGAAATAAAATATTGAAAGTGAATATCCAACCTTTTAAATAGACATTTGGCTCACAGCATAAACAACAGAGAAAACAAATAAACAGAACAACAATAAAAAAAATTCTGCTCTTCTTACAGGCCTGATCTTTTCCTTTCTCTTTAAAAGAAAAAGAAAAAAGAAGAAAAAAGTTATATTGGTGGGATCAAACACGCCGCTTCTAAGCAGAATGCCAGCAACAAACTGCTCCCATCCAGCACCTCACACTGAAAAACCAAGTTCTCTGCAGCTCATGTGAGTGGTTGCTGAGACATACGAGTGTCCGGCCGACGCAGGACTGGCACCTGTCCCCCACGCTGCTCCTAATGCATCATTTGCCTTGTATTCTGAGGAAGGGCACGGCCCCCACACTTCCCTTCTTTCGCCCTCAAGAGACGTAGTTCAGCTTCGTTCTTAAATGATATATTTGGCCACTGATGCACAGAGGCATTAAGGTTAGGGTAGGAAGATGACAGCCTGCCTCTAGTTTCTGAGTACATACGCACATTTGCTCCCTGTTCTCTCCTGCCCAAACACACACGCTGCCCCACGCAGCCATTCACGCATTCAGAAGTACACAGAGGGCCAGGTCCTCTCAAGGGGAACAGAGCAGTGTGCCACACAGTCCCTCGCAACCCCCTTCGGAAAATAATTTTCTTGGCACATCCCTTTTGCCAGCAGTCTGGGAAGTGCCAAAGAAGAGGAAGAGGAAGAGGAGGAGGTGGAGGAGCCTGCACAGCTGGATGGGGCCAGGCCAGCGGCCCGGGCCACCGCGGCCCCTGCTGAAAGGCTGCTGCCGGCAGCTGGAGCGCAAACTGGGACGTGGAGGGCTACGGGGAACGCAAAGCTCCGCGAAATGGTCTCTGGTTCCCTTGTGGGCACAAACTCTGTAAAATTCAGGCCTTCTGTTTGTTGTCGTATATTGGCACATGTGCTACAGCTAGTGTAATAAGAACTCAAACTGTGCTGTGTTACATTACATCCACTCACCCCTGCAAACACCCCCTCACACACACATGTATGTTGGCAGGATATATCAGCATTCATATAAAGCTTTGGAACTTTTATCCCTCAGCATTAAGAGCAAAAGCTACTTAACTGGTACCTTACTGTTAACTGCAAATGTGCTTTAGAAGTAGCATTTCCGTAGATAACTTTCATCTGTAAATATCACAGTGACCATAATATATCATTAAATGTATTTTGCTGAAGTGTGCAGCCAATAACCCTGGCTATATATATATTTATATATATTTATATAATTCCACCCACCCCCAAATTTCTTTAAAGAAAGTCTGTAAAAGCCGGTGTCGCAGTGTGAAAGCTTCCTTGAGCATAGGAGTTTAAACAATGTACCTCACCATAAAAAGGAAAGAGAAACAAATTAAACAGCTGTAGGCGCATTATCCCATACTTCTACAGTGTTGTGTCTAAATGCTGTGCTGGCTTGAGAAAGAGTCTGTGCACGAGTCAATCTGTCTTAAAATACTGCTGTAAATATTGTCATTGGTTTGGTTCTACAGTCGTGTTCTCCTCTTCATCCCTCTTGGGCTTCCCTTTCTCCTCCTCCTCTTCCCTGATGGCCTGGATTTGTTCTGAAGATTGGTGCAGTGTGGATTGCTCCGCACTTTGCTTCTCTGTCCCAGCTAACCTCTCCTCATCCTCAATTACTTTCTTCCACATTTTATGGTTCTGAAGCAGGTGCTGAGTGATCTGACAGTAGATTTTCCTCCTCTTGAACTTCTTCTTTCCTGTAAAATACCATGTGACATTAACATACTGTTTTCTATGAGAGAAGAAGGAAAAGGGACCGAAGGCATAGGAAGCAGACAGGGTGTACTATGACGTATAGGAAATGCACCAACAGATTTTTAAAACCACAAACTTGAACAGTTTTAAAATTCAGAAAGCTATGCCTCTCCAGACATCTGGGAAAGCAAATTGGTTTCCTGCACAGTTTAAGCCCCAGCTTCATCCTGTCACTGGCTGCATGCTGTCCCTGACTATGCAGCTCACAGAGACATCTAGTGCTGGAATGATTATGCATGAAACATGTTGCTGAGCTGATTCTGCTCACTTTTTTATATCAAGTACTCAAAGACTCCGATCAACCTACTCTGTAACATAGGCATTAAAGTCTGTGGCCTCCCCCACCCGCCCCCAATGGATGGCTGCTGATTGCCCTAGAAGAAAAATCCTGATTTTGTTTTCTCCACATTTTAGCTCTGATCTGAGCTGTAGAAGGATAATGAATAAGCAAGCATTAGTAATCAAAGGAGTGAACCCATTCCTACTTTCCCTTTTCAAAGTCAGAGATTTGCCACTCCACCATCGCAGCGGAGGTGACCTGAAAAGCCTTTGCCCAACCTTGCTTTGGCAACCGAGCCTGACCACTGAAGAAGCAGTCATATAGCCAAATACCATCAGGGACCTTGCTTGCATTTGGTTTTGAGGTGTGAGTCCCCTACTGTCAACCTATAAAACGTTTTTGCCACTGATAGTTCTCATGGCTCCTGACACAGCTGCACTATAAGTGTTCTGCTGTCTGAAGTGTGCTTTTTTTCTGTGTCAATACAGTCTGTCTAACACAGGTTGTTAACTCCTCATCAGTACAAAGCTTGAAAATTTTCCCTGGTCATTAACAGTGGCAATGGCAGTCATGGAGCTGAAATAATAAGCCCTCCAAAGACAACTGCTGTTTTCTTTTTTAAAGAAGGTGACGTAGAGGAATGTTTTGTACCAAATAAATTTGCGTGGATTAGTATTTGCAGGTTGCCTAAAGTATGTCTGTGTCAGGATCCAAAACGTTTAGCCCTTGAAGCTTTTGAACTGGAAACAAAGAGCTTTTCACTGAGCACAGCCAAATCCAACTCAATCCTTCATTAGAAAGCCCTTGGTTCCCTGTAGGAAACCTTCAGGTTTAGCACTAATAAGAAGCCCCTACCCTGCCAATGCCGCAGCAGGACATTCTCTCCTGGGGTTTGCGGGTGACCCCGCATCTTGCTGCTTTCTGCAGATACTAGTGAGCACTTGCTGTGGTGTTAAAATTTGTCTGAGTCACTAAAGACTGAGCCTGTTTAAGTCTTATACTTGCATCAGGACTTTGGGAGAATTACATGTTCCTGTATAATAACAAAAATGATTTTAAGCTACCTTAAGGTTTTATAACTTAAATTTATCTCAACAGCTTTAGTGAATTATCAGGACCTAAGTGAAGCGTTTTCTGCCACAATTACATTTCCACCTGTCTAAAGGGCACTTCCATCAAGAAAAAGATCTTCACCACCATCTACACAACTCTTAGCATCTATGCATCTAAAATCTCAACCTTTTATTTTGCTTCACGGGGAAAGCTAAGAACATCCAAAATTGTGTTGATCATAGGTATAAATTTCTAACCACCTGTAAGAACCCTATATGGACACAAAAGATGCTGTAGATTCCTGATTCAGATCTACAAAGTCACAGAGCATTTAGGGAACCAGAAGAAAACAGTTTGTAACACATTGGCATGATCGAGAAGATGAGCACCCCACATTGGGTAAGAAGGAAGTAGGAAGAATTTGTTGGATATTTTAAAACTTCTGATAGATTAATTTTTAAGGTCTTGAAAAAGATAAAGAGCCTCAAAGCACCAGGTTGAATAGTAGAGTACTGTCATGGAGCAGAACGTGAAAAAGGAAACAAATGAAAAATGGTCTGTTTTCAATTTGACAAGGCTTAATAATGGTCTGCACTTTCAACTTGAAAGCAGCATTGTTTGACTTGACTAGCAGTGACACAGAAGATAAGGGAACAGAGAAATGAGGTGAAAGGAAACTAAGGATTTCAAAGTAGTGTTAGATGCTCCAATGGAGAAATGAGAACATCCTTCATCTTTTTCATACAGCAATAGCCGTTTCAGGCTTTGGGGGTCTATGTTGGTTACCAATCGCATACGCTTTCCCCCTGGTAAGCAATTCCATAAATGCCAATCCGCCACAAAAACAAGTGGCTCTGCCTGATATTAGAGAGCTGGTAGATCACAAGGTGACAAATCAAACCTGTTATTACTTAATGTTTGCGGTCCTCGGCACCAGTTTTTGTGCACGTGAGCCTGCTAAACTTAAAACATGTGCAAGTGTGTGCGTGTGAACAACAGCAATGATTTCTTAAACACAAACCATATACCCCTGGATCTTATCAAAGATAAAAGGTCAATTCTGCACATCAGGAGACGTAGATTTTAGTTCCGTGTCTTTATGTGACTTACTGCAATCATCAAATCTTTCTGAATCTCAGCTTCCCCAACAGCAAATAGGGATGATATTCAGTAGGGCAAGAAAGCGTGTGGGAAAGAGCATAAAAAGTGAGGTGGTTAAGTGAAAAAGCTATGTATCAGTATTTCACTAGTGCACTTAAGGCTGGGGCTTCCTAGAAGGATTAGGTATAGGGAAGGGAGAGAAAGATGACCTGGAGGAAGGAAAGAACAGTAGTAGGAAATTCAGAGGGAGGAGGAACATGGAAGAAAGGAAAAGGTAATGCATGCAGGATTAAACTAGTAAGAGAAACAGGTCTACAGCTGCAGCCTTTTCTATTAAAAATAACTTCCAATAGGTTCCTGAGATCTCCTTTCAAGGTATAAAGTTTTCCTCTCAGTGCGACAAATATCAGCACCGGTGACCTTCTGGAGGAGAGGCAGGAGACTATCAGATTTAGTTACTGATTAGCCAGAAGGGCCAAGTGACACAGCGCCCAGCACACAACACAGCAATGCTCAGTGCCAGTTCTCTCCTCACATTACCATGAAGAGATTTGCATTAAAACAATTCCATTGCCAAAAACTCTTCTACTGTATTAGCATCTGAGAGCCTCATTCTATTATTCCTGTACATCGTGCTATGTCATGGAAAAGATGAGCGCTTTCCTTGAAAAATGTTCTCCTAACCATCCTTTCTTCAACTGAGAGTGTTGCGGTCTACTAACACCAGTGCTGAAATAGTCTAAAAAGCCTTCATGCATAGATGGGTGATCCACCACCAGAAATCTCAGCTGAAGGTAGAAATCAGTAGTAGATATGAACAGCAATGCGTATCAGTCTTGAAACCACGGAACGTCTCCATTATCAATGTAACTGGCTACATGCCAGCTTCACCAAGGACAGCACTGAATCACTGCAACTCTGAAGAGGCCCACGTTGAAGCCGATCAGCTCACTGTCTCTATGCTCTTACGATATGGCTGCTTAGGTTCTGGTCACAATACGAAACTTGCTCTGTTGAAAAATATACATGTGAACAACTTACTAGATTCAGCATTTTCACAAGTTTCCATTTCTGCTGTTTCTTCCTCTTCGTGCTCATCAGTGTCTCCTGATTCATCACTATCTTCTATCCATTTTCCTGGCATCAGCCCCGCTGAGTCATAAGAGTTACATAGTGGTCCCACAATGTGAGTGATGAAAGATTCCTGGAGGTTTGCCAGCTGAGGAGCAGAGCGATCCATGAAAGGACTGATTGGCAAGCCCAGGCTAGCCTCTTCATCACCCTGGAGATGAAAAATAGATGTAATTTCTCTGAAGTAAATGAAGCAAAACCATGTCATGCAAAGGAGTAATGCACATCAAACCAATTAAAAATGATGAAAGAAAAATAATCCAACTCTAATGCCACTTCCACAGCGTGCCCAGTGTGACATTGCTATCATGTCAAATGGTTAATCACAGTTACAGTTCTTTTCTTGTAAGAGGACCTGCTACCGATAGTGAGAATTCAACAAGGATGTTAGCTGATGACTGTGCAAAATGATGCCCACTACCCTTCTCCTGTACTTTACACTGTGAGTGCGAAAGTGTGAAAATTATTATTTTCTTTCTTTCTTCACATTATTTAAAAAAAATCCCTTCTGATTTTGTGACTGTTAGCTCACAACAACCTTGAAGTCAGACACCTGTTTGCAGGGAACAAGACTGAACTTCTACAAGCAAAGGCTATCTCACTGAACCAGTTTTCTTATTAATTTTACCCATAACATGGAGAGGTCCTCTTGGCTTTGAGTCGTAAGTATTTGTTTCCTGGGACTATCAGAATGATCCCTATGAAAGCAGAGGTTACTCAGAAGCAGTAAATCTTTCCCATTAAGCTTTTTGCTAGCTTTTCTTGGAAAGCGAGGGTAGAGGGGAGGTATCCTTTCATGATGCAAAAGAAGGTAAAACTTGCTTGCAGAACCAAGTCTGATATACTCACTCAACTCTATCACAGCAAAGCTTCTGGTAATATCAATGAGTTTTCAGCTGAGTAGGCATGTCAAGACTGAATGCCACCTCCCTAAGAAAAAAAAAAATCTAATCCCCCTAAATCAAGCCTGATATGCAAATTAATGTTTGAATATAATACAGAGATCTATATTTGAGCATACAGATTAGAATTTGGAGAGACATTTTCAGTTTCCATTATGCTACAGTTTGCCCAGAATTTATCTCCTTGTAACCTAAATTTTCCAAAAGTCAAGGACAAAAGCATCTGGTCAACACCCTGTTGAGATCTGGGAAGGCCAAAGAATAAGAGTTAAGTTTTGAAGCATGTACGGCAAACGTCTCATTTCCTTGTGGTTTTGTTTTGTTACTTTTATAATGACCTACCCCAAAATGTTCTGTTCAATCATTAAGCACAAAACATCTGTGTAACAAAACACTGAAACATGCCATCCATTCTTGAAATAGCAAGCAATTAAGAGGAGGTGGCAGCTTGTTGTTCTTTACAGTAACACATCTGCAATTTTCTGGTTGTGAGCTGCCAGTAGCGGGAAGAAAGATGACCGTTGAAACATTCACAAGTTCTTTTTTCATCTTCCATTAAAATGTGATTTATTACGTGAAACATCTTGCAGTGCATTTTTTGATTATTTTTAATATGTCTAACCTGTCTTCAAGTAAGTATGCTGAGCATGTGGAGGGAAGAAAAGGAAACATCCTGTAACAATATGACACAGGATTTTGAATGTTTCTATGCAATATGTTTTTAATGAGGCGTTTTTATTTATACGTGATTTAAATTCTTCAAAGAAACTGGTGTTTATTAAAGAAAATTAAGGAAATATTGCATTATTTTCACAGCATAGGTTGAATGTACATATGTATGCTTTTTGATAATTCTATGGAAATTCAAACTTCCCATAAAATACTTCTCTTTTTAAAAATGAGAAAATGAAGACTCTTCTTAGAAAAAATCTGATTATCAAAAGCATGGTGGAGATGGTTTGATACACTTCTCATATCATATTACATTAAAGAAAATCACATTTTAACCTAGGATGAATAAATTGAGTATCTAGCTTAACCTCCTTAATGTCAAAAGTAAGTCCTAGGAAGAAAACGTTTTCAATCCCATCAGTATCCTGTCAGCATGTCAAGTAATGCCCTGAAAAAAAAAAAAAACAAACCAGGAAACCCACTAGGACATACTGATTTCTCAATACAGTGAATACACATCTTCTATTAAAACAAAAACAAATCTGAAAACCCCTAACAGTATACTGACTACCTGACCTCTTGGAATCTGCAAGCTAAGAGTTCAAATACATTTGCCCACAATGCCCGTGCCAAAAGCAATGCCATTAACAAAGACAACGTTTATTCTGAATCAAGTTTTGCAGAGAGTATAAATCTCAAATGTATTGTTTTTTAATGACAGGATTATAAGAAAGATAATCTCCAATAGTCCTTTGGAGCAGCTTCCAAGATCATGAAAACATTAGTGGCACACCTTTCTGACTGACAGAAAATAACCCAGATTCCTACTGTGGAACAGGTTAACACTGTACCCTCCCACAGGTGTTGCTCTCAAGCTTGATTCAGAGCTCACTATCCAACACACTGACAATTCTAATGCATTGAAGCACTTACTGCCCTCTGACATTAGTTACGTCGTATCAAAGGAGAGTCATGTTACGTATCTGATTAACAGGTTTGTCTGCATGCAGTAGTCACCCGCATAAACTACGATCATTGCCAGATTTGTGAAGTACAATTTGTCAGGAGAGTTGTAATGAAAGCAGAGAAATATAATGAAAAGGATTTCCTGGAAGAAAATTTGGGAGATGAAGGTTGACCACTGTTGTTATGGGACGCACTCCTTTCTACAAGAAAAAATGAAAAGTGGAACCAACTATTTATGTAATATATGTAAGGGTCATTGTTCTTTCTTTTTCCCAGGAGATCTGAAATAAATGACGGAGCTTCAGGTCAATGTTTGAATTTTGTCCCTTTTCCCATTTCTTTACATACTCCTGCAGGCAGCAGCAAATCCAGGTTTTTTCCAAACTGTAAGTACAGTAAATTTAAGGGAAGATGAAAAGAATTAGCCTGTGACTTCAAGTTACTGCACAGCCTCACCGAGAAGTCTGTGGGGTGTTTGGTTCAGTGATTTAGCCTGCTTGCTTCCTCTTGAAAAGACAGGATGTGGAGTTTAGTCTAACCCGCACATTCAAAATATGTTCCCACTCAAGAAACAGTCGAATAGTGTGGGAACAGCCCTGTCCTTTGCACTCGGCAGGGCTAAATGGGTTATAATGAGAAAAGGCTCAATTAAGGGCTCCCTTACACCTGGCAGGACAGGACCAGTGTCTGGCTGTATTCCCAGGTCTTTGTAAATCAATCTGTGGCTGTCCTTCCCTGTGCTGCCATTAGCTGAGCCTTGCATAATTAGTGCAGTTGTACTGACAAACCTTCTAAGAGCTGAATAAAGTATGAGTCAGGATCAACGTGTAAGGAGCAGATACAGTTAAGTCTATGATAAACTGAAAGTCAGTGTTACAGTTCGGCTCAGTACATAAAGGTTCTGTGTGCGTGAATAGAGATGTGGCCCTCAGGGAAGCTAAAATAATTCTCCTGCTCTGTTTAGATCATCTCAACAAGGATGTTGTGTCCAGTTTTGTGGAGACCACATGACAATAAAAGAGTGAGCCACCACAAGTGACTCCAGAGGAGAGCAGTAAGAACCACCCGATGTCTTGAAAAGATACAGAAGGAAGGATGAAAAGATAGTTTGCACTAAAGAAGACAAAGGGAGCCATAATGACTGCCAACAGCAAAAAAAGAGGAATGGAACACTTGTTCACCACGTCCACTGTTAAGGATAGTCCAGACTGGAACAATTAAGCCTGTAGAAACCCCATCATCAGAGGTCTTTGAGGACACATCAGAAACTTCAGTGAAAAATGTAGTTCCACTGATCCAGCAAAAGGATGTAAAAAAAAAAAAAAAAAAGTGTAACTAGCCATCCCCTTCAATGCTGTTCTTTCTTGACTTTCACTCATCACCAGCACTAGCACGCTGCAGGACTGCTTAACACAAGATATACAACCAGCAGATACCACTTTTGACATGCACTCATTTACCTGTTCATAAAACTCATTGACAATGCCTTCTGTCCACTGCAGATGCAAATCTTTGCATTTTGCAGGCCCATTGATGTCAGCCAGTTTGATGCACATTTGGCAAACCAGCAAGCGGTCGTTCTCATTAGTCCAGTCAATTCCAACGTCATCATTCACCTAGTAGACAGGAAAAGGAAAAACATGACAGTAATCTTTGGTAAAAGGATGCATCCACAGAGGAAGTTCTGCTCTGGAATATCTTACAGTATATTTAGCTATTTAATAAAATCACAAGTGTAAGCAGGTGAGCTAACCCAAAGTTGGAATTTACAATCAGCTGTAGAGCAATATGTAAAAAGAAAAATAAATGAAAAAGAATGAACATTGACATAAATTATGAGAATTTAATATTTAGCAAATGATATGCCTGATTGAAAGCATTTACTAGGAAAACAAATGCAATCTTTCCACGACATTTTCTAAGAAGTTACTACCTAACTGGTATACAAAAAAAATTACCATCAAATGCCATGCTGATTCAATTGCAGTGTTGTCGTGATTTGAGCCCCACGCAGCCGCTCGCTCACCCCTACCCCATCCCCTGATGGATGGGGAGAAAATACAACCAAAAGGCTTGCGGGTCGAGACAAAGGACAGGGAGGGCTCACTCACCAGTTATGGTCACGGGCAAAAGACAGACTCAACTTGGGGATAACAACACACATTTAATACAAAACAACCACCACCATCAAGAAGAATGAGAGATACAACCAGGTCTTAAATACGACACATCTTTCCCCCCACCCCCCTCCGGTCTTCCCAGGACCAGCTCTGCTCCCTCTTCCCCTCCAGCAGCG